TCATCCTTTGAAGGTATACCGCTTCCTGCTACCATCATAACCCAACCCAGCTGAGGCTAGAAGGGCCTCAATGTGTTATCGGCTTCATGGTGAGAAGCAAAGGACCCTGGTGGACATAGCTGGGGTTACCAACCCCCGAGGAGGCTATCTTCAAAGCAGGAGGCTTGTCCCGGTTGGAGTCATATCACCCTCAGAGCTGCAGGGGACTCACTTTTCTTTTTGCTACATATTTGTCCATGTTATGCTCACTATGTGTGTCCTCCAAGGCTCTGTCTTGTGCCCTCTCTTCTCTTCACTATACTCTCACCTCACGTAAGTACAATTATCATCTCTGCAGATGATTCCCACTATATATACCCAGCCCTAGTCTCTCTCCTTAGCTTCAGTCCCACATTATCAACTCCCTTTGGACATTATGAACTGAATGCTCTATAGCCTCTCAAAGTTAATATATCCAGAACAGAACTCAGATTTTTTACCAAATCCACTCGTCTTCCAAACTCTCCTATTCCTGTTGGAGGCACTATCATCCTTCTAGTCGCCCAGGCCAAAACTTCAGCATCATTCTCTGCTTCTCACTTTTAGCCCACACGTCCAATCCACTGCCACATCTTTTGATTTTTTTTTCCCTCTACATCTCTCACAAGCTACTCTCCTCTCATGAAGCTACCACCTTAGTTCATGCACTCATCATCCTGCCTGGGCTGTTGTAATAGCCTTCTTTTAAACAACAAAAGTATTGATACATTTTTGTTTGTACATTGTCTAAATGTATCTTTGTTCCTGCCCTTCCCCCTTTATCAGAAAGAAATCTCATATAATTTTCTACACTTGTGGACCTTCCATCTCTACAGTAAAATGTGGCAGGTGTCTTTTATATCTCTTCTTTAGGAACTTGTTATTTCCTTGCAGTCTAGATATTGACCCTATCACTTGACTGAAATGGCTTCCTCCAAGGACATGAACCAACCTCCCAGCTGATAAACCCAATGCCCTTTTCTCAGTCTTTGTCCTAGTTGAGCTCTGTATTTGGCACTGTTTATCAGCTCCTTCTCCTCCTGGGGAACTCTCTGTTCCCTGGGTTTTTTGCATCAGCTCTTTCTGGTTTTCTCCCTACTTCACTGGCTGACCCTTCTCATCATCCCTGCCCACTCTCCGAGGCCCTGTCTGGTGCTTTCTTCTCTATTTCTACTCTCAATGACCTCATCAGCTTCTATGGGTTCAATCATACTCTCTATTCCCATAACTTGCCCCCAACATTCAGCCCTCATTTTTTTTTTTGTATTTTGCTAGGCAGTGGGGTTAATTGACTTGCCCAGGGTCACACAGCTAGGGTGTGTCAAGTGTCTGAGGCCCAGTTTGAACTCAGTCCTTCTGACTCCAGGGCCGGTGCTCTATCCACTGTGCCTCCCAGCTGCCCCCAGCCCTCATCTCTTTCCTAAGCTCTGGCCCCACTTTGTTTCAGTTCAGTTCAACAAGCATTTCTTCTCTTTTATGGACACTGTGTGGTAAGTGCTACAGGAAGAGGCAGAGAAAACAGTTTCTGTCCTCAAAGATCTGACATTCAACTATTGGCAGGAAGGTGGTGGTAAGAACAAAATGGATACACTAGGCACTTCATAAATGCTTGTTGAATTGAGCACAGCTAGTTAGTGGCAGAACTGGTATTGAAACCCTGTTCTACTCCCAATTGAGTGGGGCATGGGTCTTTACTCGTGGAATTCCTATTCTCTGAGGTCTTACATTCATTACGTGGGGAAGCCCCTTTGCTGTGCTTCTACCTTGTGTCGGCATCCTAGGATCCCAGTGTGATAATTCTTTCTCCCCCAGGTTTGATTTGTAGGGGATTCTTTCTTTTGGGGACAGCCCCTAAACCCTCCAGATCATCAAAGGGCAAACCACAGAACAGTGAATCACTGGCACATGATACAGGGCAGAGTGGGGGTAATCACATCTCACCCCCCACAATGTGATGACATCATCTCCCCAGTCCCTTTCCCTTTCTTGATTCCTCTTTTCTCATATCTTCAGCAGATATTGGAGAGGGTTTCTCTATTTGTGTGCAGAGAACTCTGTGTATATGGACTCACTGGTCAGTATATTTTTAGGTTTTTGTCAGGGTGTCCCTTTATTTGTTTATGGCTGTGTCCATGAGTGTGGGGACATAGAATCGAAAGCACAGTAACAGAAAATCTCTTCGAGGTTCGAGGGAGGGGCAAATGAATAGACAGCCTATTTGCATTTTCCTTTTCATTCTGACTCACATTCCCCCTCAACTGATTCACAACCACTACTTTTCTTTCCTCACTCCACCTGCCTTTCTCTATCTTCTCTTCTAGTGGCACACTCTTAATTTAATTATTCATGACAGCTAGAACACTAACTTTCTTGAAAGGGAGCAGAAAATTAGAGAGAATACCTAAAAAAAGGAGATTGGTTTAGATAATCCCTAAGATTCCTTCCAGCTGTAATTCAGTTCAACAAACGTGAATTAAATCACCTACTGCTTTCAAGATACTGTGCTAAGTGATGCACATATAAGGACAAAACAAATAGTCTCCTCTTAAAAAATTGTTGGGGGTGGGTGGAATAACTCTTAAAGCCGTTTTTGTCCACATTTGCTAGGAAGAAAAGAACAACTGGCACTCGAAATAGGAGCGGGGGAGAGGAGTCTTAGGTCCTAAGATGTAACCTAGGAACTGAGGGGTGTGTAGGGTTTGTGGCAAGATAAGGAATTTGAGTTTCTCAGTCCCTTTTCTTTATCCCATATCAGAGAGCACTAAAATGTGAGAAGAGGGGAAATCTCCTGGACATCCATCCTCTTGGGCAGGATGTGAAAGAAACCCTGAGCCTTTATTTCAAAGAAATACAACTTGCTACCATCCTGGGAAAGGGAAAGAAAGTCTCCCTCCCAAAGCCTCTTCCAGTCTACCCTGGGATTTCCCTTCCAGAACTTGGTGGATACTGTAAGTCACGCCACCTGCAACACTTCTCCCCACCAACTGATCAGAACATTCCCATTAAGCAAATCCTGATCAGAGGTACCCCAGTATGATTCAGTGTGAGGGACACCACCATTTCGTATTTGCCTTGTTTCTGCTCCTTTGAATCTACTATGTCCCTTTACCTTCAGGACCAGGTGATAAACAGCTTCCATCTTTCCAACCCAGAAGCAGCTGCAAATCAGCTGTCAGCCCTAGGAAAAAGAGCTCAAGGTCATAAGAACAGAAAATCGAGGGCACAATGCTTGAGCATCTAAGGGGGTGTGTAGACTGGGGCATCCAGTAAGGGGGCCCCAAGTGGGTGGAGCTAATGGACCTGGGGAGTAGGAGCCCCAAAGAGCACCCAAAGGCCTGAAGTGTCTGCAGCCGTAAGTGCCCTCCTTTCTCTAGCTGGGGCTTTCTCTCCCAGCCCACACTGTATCTGTACTTCTAAACCTCACTTAGGACCTCTGTGGATCTGTATCCTTTGTAGACTCTATAGCTCCCTTTCCATGAAAATCATTTTCTCTCTGAAAGAAGTTCTGTCTCTTTTACCTGGGGTTTCCTCTTCTATTTGCAAGACATAACACAGAGCCACGTTTCTTTATTCTTCAGTTTTTGCCTTACAAAATACAAACTTAAGACATGTAGAGCAATGAGCCTTTTCAATTTTCTCAGCCTTTCCTGAACCTGGGAAGTAGCCTTCACCCCTGCAACTTCCTCTTTTGTCTTTCATGAAAACCTTCATGAAAGTTTTTTTCTCCCCCAGTTTCTGACCCTCCCTGGTTTCAGGTCTTCTCAATCTCCCAACCTCAGCTTCTCCCTTTCTCATGACTCCCTAAGAATAGGAGTTCACCCTCTTCCTGGTTCATTGTTGGGGAGTCCTCAGTTCCTTGGAGCTTTCTTTGTAGGTATTGTAATTTCATCTTATTCCCACTGAAGCCCTGACCTCATCCCTGATTCCATTTCTGTCACTCTAAGTACTGACTCCTTTCTACCCACCAGTCAGCTTCTATGGGGAACATGCAGAGACTCTGCTAGCTATGCTTCTGGGTCAGTGAAGGGGCTAATGGAGGAGCTCCTAGCTCCCTCAAAGTCTACTTCTTGTTTCCTACCCCTGGAATCCCCACCCTGCCATTCCCTGGGGCCTTCCTCAGTCTGGATACACAGAGGAACTTTATTCTACCAAGGGAGTATGAGGACTGGAGAAATAATCCTGTCGTGGTATCTCCTGTACTTGAAGCCTCTCAGATCTAGCTTTCATCCTTCATACTGTAGTTTCAACTCTTCCTCTCTTGGTAGGTCACAGAATTAGCTCTTCAATTTTCAAGTTACTCATACCCCAGGGCTAGGGGCTGTGGTCCAACAACTCCCTCATCTGACCTTTCTCCCTCCCCTCCAAGGGCCCCACTTTGCTGCCTCTCCCCTGAAGCCTCCGAGTCCATTCCCTGGACAGGCCCCATGGTGTTGATGGACTAGTACGAGTAGCCAATGGTCTGCGGCCAGCACTCTGCAACACTGTGATCAGTGTGGGGACACAGGGGCTCCCAGCCCACAGCTGGGCCGGAAGGGATGATAGACACTAATTGAGAGGGTGAGCCCTCCCATCTTTGCCCACCTTTTGTACTTTGCTTATGGTGAGACCCTGGAACTGAGGCCTGGGGAGCCAGGTCCTCTCTGGAGGCAGTTTGGGCCTTGGGAGTAGAGACCCTCAAAGTAGAAGTATAGGAGGGTTCTTGGGGAAGAGGCTGAGGAGGGATATCAGGGACTGAAATTGTATCAGGAAAAGCCAGAAGAACCAACCAGAGAGGCAAGGGGAGGGAAGGATGGATCAATAAAGTTGCAATCGGGAAAGCCCCTTGATGATTGGCCAACATCAAGGACATCTGCTCAGAAGATGGGAGAAAAGCAGCAGCAGGAAGAAATCCTAGTGGCCTTGTCAGAAACCCTTCCCCAAGTGTTGAGTAAGAGTTTGGGAACCTCAGGATGTCTGAGGGGCCTCTTATCCCCATCCCCTAGCCAGCCTCACTGCAAGGGAACACCATCACCAGGCCCTGGTGCTAGGAGGACCAGTCTAACCTTGGAAGCATCCTGCTGCTGTCTTCAAGGTATAGAATCCCCTCCTCCCACAGCACCCCTGTCCCTGAAGCCTGGAGAGAAATGTGGCCTCACGATCAGAGGTGAGTTTGGGCCAGTGGAAGAAGAGGGAGGCCCTTGGGATAGGAGATGGAGATATTGGGAGGGGAGTGGCCATGAAGTCACTCCTGCAGGGTACAACACCGTCTTTTCATCTGTAGCACATATTTTCCGAGATAGCAGCAGGCCAGCCACCCTCTGGAGAGGCCAAGTTGACCTAGGGTCTGCCAACAGAGCAGGGAACTAAAGAGGCTTCAATTCTCCCTCCCTTCACCCTTCAAGACCTTACTATCTCCGAGTCCCCCAGCTGCTCTCTGGGGCCACGGCCCAGACAATTTGGGATTCCACCAATCTTCCATCCCCTGCCCAAGTAAGTTCTCCCATTCCCCAGCATGCTTGGCATCTCTATTATTTATCTGCAAGCCAAGTCCCTTGGGTGTGGAAGAACTCTTGGCATGGGCAGTCAGTCCCCACTATCCCCACTCTATTCCTACTAGGATCCCTCCAACTGGGGACAGCTCTGCCCAGTTCTAATGAGAAGAAAATCTCTGACCAGAGAAGCAGTGAAGGTGAGTAGGTGTGGTACCTCCAGTCACCACCAGGTGACCAGCCTCAGGTGCCTCCCTGGGCCTCCACCAGGAGGGGTCCTGCTGGGCATCGTGGCTCTGGGGGAGATGCTGTCTATCCCCACACTCTCTCTCTCTCTCTCTGTACTTTGCCAGGAGGCTATTCCTCACCCTATGGGAACTGTTAGCAGAAGTCAGTGGCCCCACTTTGGGCTTCCCCACCACTGCCCTCAGGGTCTTAGCCCTATCCCTGTCCCTCTTGCAGAAGGAAATTCTACCTCAAGCATTAGATGTCGACTAACTACAGAGTCCACACAGGTACCTGGATGTCTTGCCCCTGGGGAGTTTTTTCCAAGTATCTCTGTCCCCATCCCTCCTCTGCATTGGGGGGCAGGGTCTTCTGAGTGGAACAGAGCCAGCAGGCTGCCCCATTTCCCTTTGGCACTTTTTTTCTCCAGCCCAACACAGGTGGTAGCGTCCCCTTTCCACTGATAGCTCTAAGTAGAACTACAGCCACCTGCTTCGATGCCCGAGTATTCTAACTTTCCTCAGAACAAACCAGCGCCCTTCCTTTACCTGTCTTTCTCCACCTTCTCTAGGGGAGAAGCCTTTCTCTTGCCACCTCTGCCCCCAGTGTTCCCAGGACATCTCTGCCATGACCAAGCACCTAAGAACGCATGGCCCAGCCCCTCACTGCTGCCCCTTGTGCCAGGCTGGCAGCCCCAGTGTGGCCGCCACGCAGGCCCATATTCGAAGCCATCCCCCGGGACAGCTGCCAGGATGGACCATGCAGTCCACTTTCCTCAGTTCTTCCTCCAGACCTCCTCTTCCTCCCCTTCTCGGGCCACCTGAGAACAGGATCTTGCAGCCTCTCTAGCCACGAAGGGATTGAAAGGGGGAGCCAACACTGGAGATGAGGCCTAGATGCCTGGGCCTCTCGGGCCCTGCCCCTCCCTGACTGCCTCCCAAGTGGGCAGCAGAGTCTTACTGCTGGCGGCTGGCTCCTTAGGAACTGGGCCTCTTGGTGGGCACTGGCTCGGCCATCACGTGAAGGCAAGCCGGTCCGAGGGCGGGTGCCACCTGCACGGAGCCCGGCTGTGGAACGCAATAAAGCTGGCAGGGCCTCGGCTCTCCTCCACGAGGGAGCAAAAAAAGTGTCCGACTCTAGTCCCATTCGAGCACCTCCGGCCCGACCACAGGACCCTCGCGCCCCGTCCCCAGCCTCTCCCGCCCCTCCGCGTGGCTTTCCTAGGAGACGGGGTTCGGGCTCACCCCCACAGCTTTACTAGAGGCAAGTGGTGGGGGGGGGGGGTCCCGTGGCTGTCCAGCCCCGGCTTGGGGGCTGGAATTCATTTTCCTCCTCCGAAGCATCCGGCAGGAAGACCCGCGCCCCTTTGGCAGTGCATTCCCCGGTTGCAGAAGTGGGGCCTCCCTGCAGAGCCGCTAGCACAGGCCCGGGGGCGGCAGCGCGGGGTGATCTGAAACCCTTTCCCCAATCCTTCCCTGCACAGAGCTAAGGCCACTTGTTCTCGTGCGCTTTATATTGCTCCGCCCTTCTTTTTCTTCCCTCTGGGCCAGATTGCCCCCTGGAAGCTGTAGTCCGCGCTGCTAAGCTTGAGCCGGAGAGAACAATGGCGTTGGTGGGGCGGAAGGACCACATTTACCAGCGTCCTCCAAGCCCCTCTGTCGGCCTGCCTCGTGCTCTCCAGGGCTCTGCTCGGGAGCACGTAGTCTGCCACTCTCCGCCCCCTGCCTCTTTCGGTGGCTAACAGAAGCAGTGAGGTGGCGGGACTACATTTCCCGGCGGCCCCCGCGCCACGCTTCTTTTGCTCCTCCCTGAGACTCTAGGCCTCTGTCTTCTGGCGGGGAGTAGGAAGGGCCGGGCGGCGCGTCAGCCTCCAGCTCCCGTGGTGCCCCGCGGTGGTGGTGGTGGAGGTGGTGGCGGTGCTGCGGGAGGTGGAGGTGGAGGTGGAGGTGGAGGTGGAGGTGGTGGTGGAGGTGGTGCTGGGGCTGAGCTGGGCGCGCCTCTTCCCGCCGGCCGGGTCGGGGCGCTGTGGCGCTTATTATTGTCGTGCGCCGCGAGCCGCCCCGCCCCCTCCCCTCCCCCCGGCCCTGCGCCCGGGCCGCCCCTCCCCCCGCCTCCCCGGCCCCTCTCACGGTGCCAAGATGGCGGCGGCGGCGGGCGGCGGCGGTTGCCCGGGGCCTGGCTCGGCGCGGGGCCGCTTCCCGGGCCGGCCACGGGGCCCCGGCGGGGGCGGGGGCCGCTGCGGGCGGGGCGGCGGCGGGGAGCGGGCCCGGGTGGCCCTGCGACGAGGCGGCGGCGGCGCGGCCGGGGCTGGGGGAGCGGAACCCGGCGAGGACACGGCCCTGCGCCGCCTGCTCGGCCTCCGCCGGGGCCTGCGCCGGCTCCGCCGTTTGTGGAGGGGACTGCACACTCGCCGAGGCCGGGGCCGGGGCCGGGGCCGGAGCCGGGGCCGGGGCGGCCTGCAGGAGGAGCCCGAACAGGGCCAGGAGGAGGAGGAGGAGAGCAGTGACGAGGAGAACGAGGAGGAGGAGGTGAGCGGGCTGAGGGGAGAGGGGCCGGCAGCGCCCCGTGGGAGAAAAGGGACCTTCCCCCGAGCCGGAGAGCTTGGGGTGGGCGTGCGGGGCCGGAGTCGGGGCGGCCCTGCCCAGCCTGGGGAGAGGGGGCTTATTGAACGGGACCAGAGTTCTGAGAATGAGCTGTGGGCCCAGCCAGTAGGATGGGGGCTGGGGGTGGGGGTGGGGGAACTCGCCGGCCTCTTTTGGGGGCTGGAGCAAACTGTAGCGCCAAGTGTGCCTTGATAGTCCCTGATGAGCTCGGAGTTCTTCTTGGGTGGGGGTGGGGGGGCACATACAGAGAGCAGGATAGAATGTGTTGGGATGCCCAACCTATGGTAGCTGGTGGAAGCAGCATGGCTTTAGTGGGTGGAACCTCAGGTTGAGGAGACCCCACGATTCTCAATCATCTGTCCACCTTTGGCTTGCCATGTGACCTTGGCCAAACTCCTGGCCTTCATTGTACCTCAGTTTCTCTGCTTTCTAATTTGGGGTGGAGAGGAAGGCATAAAGAAGACTCCTCCCAGGGAATTGGATGTGGAGATGTAAAGTGACAACCAGGAAGTATGATGTCTTGAAGGCTTGGCTAGCTTTAGATCCCACCCCCTCCCCCTACTTCTGGGGACTTTGTTCTGTTGTGTTATTTGGGATTGGTGCTGCTTCTTACCCTGAGGGGGTTTTGAAGCTTTAGGTTGATTGTAATGTTTAGCCCGAGGGGCTGCACTGCATTGTCCTTCTAAGATGCTACTTGTGTTCTGGGCCCCAGCCTGATTATTGAAGGGGAGAAACTGATCCTGCCTTGGTGGAGATGGCATCTTTTCTGTCCTTGAGGGGCCTGAGTATACAGTGTCTACTTTAAGAGTTTTTTTTTTAAGACCTAAGAGCCACTTGTAAGCAAATGTCAGAATGAGCTCCGGTGGTTAGATAGGCTTGTTCTAACAAGTTCTGTTGGCCTCCACCCCTTTCTGATGTGGGGGGCTGGGGTCATGAATTGAGGTGTGGGAGCACAGGGAAGAATTAGAGCCTTCCTTGGAGACTGCTTTGCTTTCTCTAATTTCTACTAGTCAGAGACTAGCAAAGATGAAAGTGGGGGTACAGCCTAATGCATGGGTCATACGGAGAAGGTTTCACTGGCACTGACTGCTCCCTTCACCCCGGTCCCCTCCATCAGGAGGAGTTTCTGGGTTTCCACTCAGATGAAGATGTGGCCCCCAGTTCCCTGCGCTCTGCGCTTCGGTCCCAGCAAGGTGAGTGAGGGGCAGAGACTCTTTCCTAATCCTCTAGAAAACTGTCTCTGTAACCTGTCCCAGTTAACTATTAGCTCCAGCTCTCACTCCCTCGTCCATCGGATGCACCCTTATCCATCTCCATACACAACCACTCTCCCCACAGGTGGAACCCCCAGAGGCCGGGGCCGCAAACACAGGACAACCCCCCCTCCACCTCCCCGCCCAGCCGAAGCAGTCCTTCCCCCCCAGAAGGCCCCGTCCCGGAGACGGGGTGAGACTGGCAAAGAGCGGATGGTGCAGGTACTGGCTGAGCTGCTTCAGCGGGCCCAGGCCCCCCACCCCCCCGGGTTCGTGTCTCTGAATCTCCCACCCCTCGTCGGCCTCGAGGCCGACCACCAGGCTCTTGCAAAAAGAAGAAGCTGCCAGCAGTGGTAGCAGCAACATCAACTCCTAAGCCAGCACTCCCTGTAGTCCCAGGAAATCGACGAACTGGGGCCTGGAGATGTCGAGAGACCCCGGGCCCTGGCTCTGGGAGCCACAACAGAGGGCAGTCTGGTCGAGGGGGCCGAGGAGGTAGGGGCCGTGGCCGGGGAAGGCTCCCTCTCCTACTCAAGTTCGTCTCTAAGGCCAAAAAGATGAAGATGGGACAGTTGACCTTGGGACCTGAGCCAGGACGGGGTCGAGGCCGTCGAAGGGGGGGACGTCGGGGGGCCCCTCCAGGTAGAATTGGGTCTAGCCAAGGAGGGGGGCAACATCAGAAGTGGCAGCAACAGGAAGAAGAAGAAAAAGATGAAGAAGAGAAAAAGGTGACCAAGGAAGAGGAAGAAAAGCCGCCTTCACCACCACCTCCTGTACCTCCTCCACCTCCCCCTCCTCCACCTCCACCCCCTCCACCCGCTCCAGCCCCTGAGGAAGAGAGAGATGCACCACCTCCTATGGCCACAGCTACTCGATCCCGAAAAAGAGGCCGGCCCCCCCTGACCCCTACCCAGCGAGCTGAACGGGAGGCAGCCCGAGCAGGGCCAGAGGGTGGTTCCCCCCCTACCCCTGTCCCCCCTACAGGGCCTCCTGAAGACAGTCCCACAGCCCCTCCCAAGGGGACCACTTTCCTGAAAAACATCCGCCAGTTTATCATGCCTGTTGTGAGTGCCCGATCTTCCCGTCTCATCAAGACCCCTCGACGGTTCATGGATGAAGAGGTCCCTCGACCCCCAAAGACTGAGGCTTCACCCCCTCCCCGGCCACCTGTGGAAGTCTCTCCACCAGCCCCCCAGGAACCAGCTCCGCCCCCTACCCCTACCCCTTCTCCACCTCCCCGATCACCAACGCCCCCACCAGCCCCTCTTCCTGAAAAGAGACGGTCTATCCTGAGGGAGCCCACATTCCGATGGACTTCATTGAGTTTGGAACTAGCCCCACCTCCACCTCCAGCTCCTCCACCAGCCCCACCCCCGGCACCCATGCCCCCATCCCGGAGGCCCCTTCTGCTTCGAGCTCCCCAGTTCACTCCCAGTGAAGCCCACCTGAAGATCTATGAATCTGTGCTAACCACACCTCTGCCCGGGCCCCCTGATCCCCCTGAGCCAGAGCCTCCCCCTGCTGATGAACCTATTTTGGAGCCTGAGGCCCGGACAGGTAGTCGGACCAATCACCTCAGCTTGCCCTGTTTCACCGCTTCGGCAACCACACCCACGAAGGCTGAGGACCCACAAGGCTCACTGGTTCCCGGCAATGGGCAGCAGCAGCCACCACCACAGCTGCCCCCTCCCCCTGATGAGCAGAGTCTTTGTACCCGGGGAACAATTTCACTTCCACTCTCTGGAGTAGAAGAGAAGATGTTCAGTCTCCTCAAGAAGGCTAAAGTACAGCTCTTCAAGATCGATCAGCAGCAGCACCAGCAGAAGGTGGCGCCCCCAGCTCCGGTGAGAATGGTGTTTTTCCTGTTGTTTTCCAGTCAGCCAGGATCCACCCATTCACTTGTCTCCATCTCTCCTGCCTGGGGTCCCCTCTCAGATTCCATTCTTAACTTAACCCAACTTCAGGCTCTCAAGTCTCTTCTACACCTAGTCTTTAGGCCCGTTCTCCCCACCCACTGTTGCCCTGTCCCCATCTTTGCTCACTTTCCAGCCCCTGACTCCATCTCTTTCCCCCCAGCCGAGCCCTGGAATGAAGGCAGAAGAGGCTGTGAGGACCCTCAAGCAGAGCCCTGATAGAGGGGCTGTCAAGTCTGAGGATGAGTTTCTGGAAGCCAAGAAAGAGAGACCCCCGGTATGCAATGACAGAGGGACTGCCTCCCCGTGGAGGAGGGAGAGAAAACACTTTGCACCCCTTTGTCAGGGGAGTCAAGAGAAAGCTTTTTGGAGAAGCCAGGAAAGTGACTGTCCTGTCTTTTGCTTACTCTTCTAGGGTCCTGAGTCACCAGTACAGGGCCCTCGAATCAAGCATGTTTGTCGTCATGCTGCTGTGGCACTGGGCCAGGCTCGAGCCATGGTACCTGAAGATGTCCCTCGACTCAGTGCCCTGCCCCTCAGGGAGCGACATGACCTTGCCGCTGATGGTGAGGATGCTGGGGGTCCAGGTGTCAGAAAAGGAAAAACCTGACCTTGGGGTACAGATTTTCTGGTGCTGAGCCCACTTCTTCCCCAACAGATACTTCATCGGCATCTGAGACTGAAGGCCTCCCATCACGGTCCCGAAGGGGAAAGGCGGAACCAGCAGGCCTGGGTGGGAGTTCAGGTTCCACAGGGACTGGGGGGGCCCTGCCACATGCCCCGAGGCGTTCTCTGCCCTCCCACCAAGGCAAAAAGATGCGGATGGCACGATGTGGGCGCTGCCGAGGCTGCCTGCGGCTGCAGGACTGTGGGTCCTGTGTCAATTGCCTGGACAAACCCAAGTTTGGAGGCCCAAACACCAAAAAACAGTGCTGTGTGTGAGTTACTCTATGGCTACTCTTGTACTCCTTGTGAGTTATCTTGGGTTTCTCCCAGTGCTGCTTGTGAGTGACACCCACTCCCCCCTCCTCCCCAATCCCTTTCAACATTTTGTGAGTCACCTGAGATCTCTACTGCCACCCTTTCTGCCCAAGAGTTTCCTGAGGCATCTTAGCACCCTGAATCTAGTCCTAGTCTTGTGGGCCAACTGGAACAGAATTCCAGCCTTATTATTATTACTCATTTTTATCATTATTCAGAACAGTACAGTTAACATCCCAAGAGGTTGCCC